TAGACAGGTGGATCCCATCCCTCCCTAACAGGCTATAGTCATTGAAGAATGTCCTGTTACCATAAAAACCAAAACCCTCACAACAGCACCAGCCACGAAGGCAGAAGTTCATTTGCATTACATGTCTATTTCTGGCTGCACCCTTTCCTCTAACGGGTAAAATGGAAGAAAAGATAAGATAACCTAGGCATCAATACTTTTCACTTGCACCCCAGGGCTTTGTAATCTTCCTTGATTCTGCCCAGAATGACTGCTTGTGGTGTCATTCATGCCCACATGAAAGAGTAGCAGTGGATAGTAGTCTGTGCTCTTGACAAGTTGTGGCACCCTCTCAGCAACATCTCAGACCTTAGCTCCCGGAAGGCAGCATACCTCTCATGACTCCCTGCCAGGGAAGCAGATGGGCACCTCGGTGCCCCTTGACAGACAGTCACCCACTATGAGTGCTCATCGTTTCTTTTTGTGGTATCCACTGTATGCTGCTGGTACAGTTTGTCCTTTCAGGCCTTGCTCGTGGGTGTCTACAGCTGTTAAAACTTCATATCTGTTTTTGGTTGTGATGCTGAAGGATGGAGACTGAAGCAGAGTCCTGTTTTTGGGGATCACCAGGGTCCAAGGCACCTCATTCTCTGTGGTGTCCACCACAGGAGCATGGTTCTGAAACCACTTATCTATCTCCATCTCGGCCCCTCAAATACTCCTCAGATTTTTAACTGTTTCCTGCAACTCAGCCAGCTGATGCAACAGACCATCAACCTGTGCACATCTTTTGCAGGTACTTGCCTTTTCTCCAGGAGAAGGGTCTGGGCACTCACTGCAACCTGCCATCTGTACTGAAGTCTCCTTTCTTACCAGTTCCATCTGGGTGGAAGCATCAGACATCTCGGGGGCTTCCTCTGTAGAAAAACAGGTTTTAACTCTGAGGCGAGTGCCCACCATCCTGGCAGAGACCTAAAGCTGTTCCCTGGGCTGGGGGCCTACAAGCAGGCACACAGCCCTTCTCAGGCGCCTTTCTGCACAGAATGCTGTGCAAGCTGCAGCGCCCTCTCTGTGCGCTCTCTCCATCCTGTTTGCACGCCCTGTTCGCAGCGTTCCTGGTCACTAGTGCTCCCCAGGGCTGTGTGAGTAGAAATGGGATGCTGTTGCTGCACTTCAGCATGCTTGAGTGTTTACACATAATGTGTTTTTTTGTTTTTGTTTTTGTTTTTTTAGGTAGAGGAGAGGAAGGAGTGATAACTCTGGTTACAGAAAAAGATTTGTGTCTGTAGCTCTAACAGTCAGGCACACAACCCTTTCTTACAGGTTGATTGTCCTGCTGCTGGGTGGACAGCCAAGAGGATAAAGCTCACTGATCTTCCTGTGCACAGCAGCACTTTTACTTGAATCTCTGCTCCTGTCTTTTGCTCAGTCATATTTTTCTTCCTGATGACTCTGCATTGTGCAAGTTGCCATGACTTATTCTGGGCAACACTTCTGCTTTCAGGGAAGACAGCAAAGGCACTTCCTAATAGCTAATTAGGGCCCTACATTTAATGTCTGTAAGAGTGTTTTTTTCAGTGGCAATCACAGTAAGACAGGAGTTGCCACCCGTCAGCAGTCCAGTCAACTGCAGGGCCCAGGCAGTATCCACTGTTAGATACTTCAGCAAAAGTTGGAGGAACCGCTGAAGATTAATGTGCGATTCACCCGTCTGCTTTTACCTGTGAATGTAAGGGTATATTTTGCTTCTGCAGATGCTTTTTATACACTTCCTAGTTATACATTTTTCTAGTATTCACATAAGCATTCAGGTTTGTAATCCTCTAAGCTCTTGTCATCATGTTGTTGAATAGCAATGAAATATACATTTAGATATCTCTTTTGTAAAATATTTTTCCTTATTCTACTTATAAATGTCCTATTTATCTTCTGGTTCCTGTATTATGAGATGGTAAAACGAATCCATCTTCTACCATCTCTGCTTCATATTATTCAATAATATCATGTGGCTGCAGCACTGCATAGTTGGTCTCCTTTTCCTGTAAGTGTTCAGTTGTAGCTCCTAACAGACCTGTATTCTTACAACTTGAAGTTATAGTCTCAAATAAATGTTTGCATGTCATTAGTTTCCATGTACTATTTCAGATATGGCACTGTCCTAGTATCACCTCTGTGCCTAGATTTTGTCTCTTTCACAAACTTTACAGCCACTACCTCATCAGTAGTGTAATTCTGGCACGTTTTACATTCTCAAGATGCAAAATCAGCAGGATTCAATAAAGCAAATAAACCAGCTGCTATCTAATGTTTATATGGTAAATTTAAACAACTTTTTTTTACTAATTAACAGAATCTCTAGGACAATAGAACTCTATTAATTTTAACTGTACTATTATTTTGGCTGGATTTAACTTACTGGATTTTTCAAACTGGTAGGAATATAAACAAAAATTATTATTATTTTTTTAATTTGATCACAGATGTATACAACTTGTTTATTTTGTCAGGTCAAGTTTCAAAAGTATATGTAATAATCCATGTTTTGTGTATTAATTATCTACATTCTGCTATAATTACTCTTGTATCTCTCTCCAGTCTTTTATATAACACTGTGAATTTTCCCTTCTGTATTACCAAGGCCTTATATTTTTGATGCAGTCCTCTTTTAATAACCAGCACCATGTGTGTGGCCTGAATTCCTTCATCCAAAACTAAAATCAAGTTACAGGGAAAGGTAACTTGAAGAAATAGAAGGAAAGCTGAGTTAACCACAGAATGTAATCTCTGTACCTATTCTGCTAACTTGCCTATGAAAAGCACTCAGCACATCACATCTTAACTTTTTTTAGTATATTTATATGCAAATGTTACTATAGCTTCAGCGTAGACATGCCTGAGGTAAATTTGAGGTAGGTAGATGTGAAGCAAAATGCAGACTGCAAAAGCTAAACATTTAGCCTATTATCTTCTTCTGCTGCTCCACTTAACTAATTTCAAGCTAATTTGAGTAGATCTGCACCAAGTCTAGGTGCATACATACTCAAGAAAGCCACCAGTGTATGTCACTGCAGTATTACAGAGTGGACCTGGTTTTAAGTGTGAGAGACTGAAGAGAGGTCATTTTGAGGTCATTGTCTGAGGTCATTGTGTCCATCTGGCATTAAAATGACCTTACAGATAGGCGCATCTGCTGTACTGACTATATAGGACATATTGGATGACTGCACTCTCAAATTAAGTACTTCAGTTAAGTGCTTAAATTGCCTAAATTCAGTTGACGTCATCCAGCCAGAGAGGTTCCCTCTCCCCACCATTTGATTACTTTATTATATGGATTAAATTTATTAACCAGGTGTTCATGGAGATGGATAAAATAGATGGCAGAAAAATGTTATCACCGTATTGGTTCTTCATGAAAAACTCTCTTGGCAAGAGGACAATTGAGATCCAGAAATCCTTTGAAATTTAGTAGCACTCTGACAGTGAACTCATCAGCTTGGATATTTTGTTTAGTTGCTTTTCATTTGCACAATCAGGTCACTTTAAAGTGATACTGATTTTGTATATATGGCTGAATATCAGGTACATATATCAGGTGTATATATGTAAGTTGGATATCAGGTACAGATGGGCCATTTCAGGTTTAAAAATATAAATAATAATGGTAAATTGCAATTATATATTCCATCCCCAGTGCACAGTCATGGTGGACCTTCAGTGATGATGTGGTTATGGAATCCTTAGAAAACAAAGGGGCAGAAAAATCTAGTAATAAATCATCTGCCTTCTCCAGCTGCCTGTGTTCCTCCCTGTCCACCATTATTTTCATGTTTGCCCAGAAACTTCGCTCACGCTTGTTCTGGGATGAGGTGGTCAACAGTTTTCTCATAGTTCTGCTATTTTTCAGTTATACATCACCAATAGAGATTCACTATATCTGTACACATTTGTGTAGAGACACACCACATTCTTTCGAAAAGAAACGTACTGCCAGTGAAATTAAAAAAAACAACAACAAACAAAAACCTTCCATAAGTAAAAAGGGAAATAATATTTGATGCTTTTTGAAATCACAGAACAAATCCTATTCACCTTATTCACATGAGTATTGAAAACCTTGGTTTACTCAAATAATAACTTGAAAAGATTTTACTTTATAGTAGCTTACAGCATCTTTTATTGTTGTCGCTACCTTTGTGTATAGATATTATTTTTCAAAAAAGTATTAGTTTAATAAATATTATTTCTTTCCTTTTTTCAGGATGTGAATTTATACTGAAAGAAGAGATATTCTAAAGTTTAAGGGCAGTAGAGCAGAAACTGAAGCAGGGGTGGGGGTGTTGGTCATTTTTAGCACCAGAATATTCCAGTGGAGCAGAGGTGCTCTCATTTCAGTGGTCACAGAAGATAGTGCAGAATCTGACATAAATAAGTTTTAGTTCAGGTGACTTCTTTCCCTTTGCCTCAGCTCCTTGTTATAGAAAAGAAATGACAATTATTTTGTCCTGTTAGGCATCTTGTCATTTTAGCTTAGGAACTATCAGGATTATGTTGCATTATGCATTTGTAGTGCATTGGGTTTGTGATTTCGGTTCAGTTTTCTAGTTATTACAATAACACAAACAGCTAATTATACATTAGAGATTATTTTGCAAAATATAGTTTCAGCCATGCAAGCCAGATGAACTTCTTTACATGAGAAGCCTCAGAAATGGGCCCTATCTAATAAATCAGTGAACATTTTATGTTCATGGAGTTAATGTTCAGGAGAAAAAAAAGGTAACTTTAAATCACTACAATATTTTCAGTGGTATATTTTGAGTATCTTTAACAAACAGGTTTATAAACTGTTTAAAATTAGTAAGCGCAACTAAATGTAAAAAACCAAACACCATCTTAAGGCATTCCAGCCACTGCAATGTCACCCTTTTCAGCACCAGGACACTGCATATTCATAAGGAAAATTTTATCTAGAGCTGAGTATGACATTTTTTTTCTCTATGCCATTTTCTTTTGGACAGGATCTATATCATCAGTCATATGACTGCGTCTGTGTCATGTTTGCCTCTGTTCCGGATTTCAAGGAATTTTACACAGAATCTGATGTAAATAAGGAAGGCTTGGAATGTCTCAGGCTGCTAAATGAGATCATTGCTGACTTTGATGATGTATGTACTTCTAACAACAATCAACATATGGTTTCAATCTTAATAACCCAGGGTATGCAACAGTAAGCAAACATACTTGAAAGAGAGAGTGGAAGAGCTGTCAGAAAAGAACTTTTGTGTGCCTAGTCACGTGGAGATTACTTACAGGGAGTATTAAAGGAAAAAGAAAATTATTTGGGATAAATCAGATATTGATCTGACATCATACTCAATTGCTTTTGATTAGCTATAATGAGAATCCTATGTGTATATCTGATGGAGAAATTTTTGCCCTTTAGCTGCAGTTCATGAAGCAGTCATATTACATGCCATATATTAACTACAGTCTCTAAATACTAGTGCCTAAAATCAGGTACGTAAATCTATGTCCCCTAAAATGATACAGCTTTGTGTTATACCTGATCAGTGTTGGTCTCATTATATGGAGTGCTGATCAGTTAATACATGAGCAACTCAGGGGATTGTGTAAGTTTAAATGTTCTGTTCTCTGAAGTTACAAGCAAGTACAGAGTATGACTACAGAGGGATTGTGAAAAGGCAGCTGTGAAGGTCTCAAGGAGAACAGTATTTGTCTTAAAGAAAGTAATTAGTGATGAAGATACCAGAAAAAGGCGTTAAGATAGCGTCATGACTCAGAAAGCACAGTCTGGATTTGTGGATCTGGAACTATAGAGGGTATTTCAGCAGCAAAACCATTTGGAGAACATTGGAATATCCAAAACAACCTGGGATATGAACTAAAATCCTTGGATTTTAGTCCCATTGGCATGGACTGTCCCATTGGCATGGAAGATATGCTTACTTTCAGAAAGCTGCTTAACTGTTGTCTTGCATGATGACACAGTTCCAATATCGAACGAGTGCAAAGTCTACTGACTTTTAAGAGCTGTACGCACAATAAAGTAGAATTTATTCTTATTACTATGAATTTAGTCCCTTTATAATAAAAAGGTATTTTAACAGTCAGAAATTCCCTTTCCTTGGAGGCTTTAACCATTGTTTTATCCATCCTTAAGTCCTTCAACCTGTATATATTTGTGAAGCCATTTGAGGTCTATTAAGAGACTGTTATAAGAACTGATGCTCTGAATGCTGTTAAAGTAACAATGCTGTTAGACTAACAAGGCTGCTGATCTGAATAATAAATAACCATCCTTGTTTTACAGTTATTGTCAAAGCCAAAGTTCAGTGGAGTTGAAAAGATAAAGACCATTGGAAGCACTTACATGGCAGCAACAGGATTAAGTGCTACACCCAACCAAGAACAGTGTCAGGTACAGAAAAGATTCCTGCTTAATAAAAAACATGTTCAAATGAAGGCTAAAATTCTGTTCATTAAACTGCAGGTTATGTATAATGTTGTGGCCTAGTTTTTTCTTACTAACTTAGATTGTATTGTACTGGACAAGTGTATACTTTAGTAGTCTGTGAATTATTGTTCTTCAGATCGTGGTTTGAAAATGCCACCTCTGTATTTGCTAAGTCTAAACCAGGCCTTCCACTCTAACTATAATAAAGCATTTTATTCCTACATGCTGCAGCAGAACTGGATTTATAGAGTGTACAAAAGACTGCAAGAATGAGCATTTTCCATTGTAATCTGGGAGGGATGAGAAGCCATACTAACCATACACTTACAAACCCCTCCGGCTCAGCATTGAGAACGTGTTCCTTTGTTTCTGGTTTACTTAATAAGGTAGGACTGGGAACTGCAGTCAGTAGAAATTAAGTTCGGAGAAGCAACTTATAATTTTTAAGCAAAACCCTTGCTTTTGCCATGATCTTTAGAGTACTACAGGTTAGCGACAGAGAGGCAGCAATTATGAATCAACACATTCTCTGCTAAGGATTAATGTGCTCTTGCCAAACTCATGTTCCTTCTAGACAGAAGCAATTAACGCCTGAACTATAGACCCTAAAGATCCTGAGGACAAAAAAAGAATTATTTTAAATTACCTCTGACATTTAATACAGGGAGGTGAAGGGGATAAAGGAAATGCAGAATTGTAAACTGGAGATGAGAAGACATAGAGGAGCTTTCAATCACAAGTAAAACTAGCAAACACAGGAAGAAATTTATTGTTTGAGTTACCTCCACAAACTGTGAATCAAGAGATCCAAGTTTTAATGTTCCTTTGGTGACTTAGTACACATTTTCAAAAGAAACCCACCAAAACTCAGCAGCCTTCAGTCCAGATGCCCAAAGATCCACAGATACTGCAGCACGTAGTGTGGCAGTGACTGACTGCTAGGCATACTGCTGGGAACAGCCCCCAGCTTAAAACAAGCACTCAAGGAAGACTAAGTGCCTAAGGAGGGGGTCTGAATACATTAACTGAACAGAAAACCATCTGTCTTAGCTAGGAGTGAACTCCAAAGGAAACAGGCTTCATTCATCTAAACAGCTGCTCTGGCAAGCACCACTACTGTCCCACCTAGGCTGATGCATCTACTCTATGAATCATCTCCTGAAGTTGTCATCTGTCCATCTCTTCTGTCACTTTATCTCAAGAAATGAGGAAGATTCAGTCATTTCTCATAATGATCAGTGAGTCCATCTCTTATGAAGTCACTCTCTTGTCAAGGTCCTACCCTGTGCTGTGGGAGCCTGAAAATCAATTTTTTCCTCAGCCTGAGGGGACTTAAACCAGTACTTAAAAATCAGGCTACACTGTTGATATACAAGGAGAAATTAAGTCTACAACCTTTATAAGTGGTAGAAGCTCTAAGCTAGTAAATTAAGCAGAGAGGATGGGTATTGTATTTTATTCATTTTCAGGTCAATTAGATGTTCTCAGAGGTGCTTGCTTATCTACCAGATGAGAGCAGTGGAGGAACTCAAAATTGTGAATTTCACTGGAGCTTAAGCATTAACTAGGGTGCTGAGCTGTGCAACGATGAGAGGGAGGAGTCTCTGTGGGGTTGTCCACAAGCATTATTTATTATTATAGGGCATAAAATAAAAGCAGACACTTAGAGAAAATTAATAGGCAAATCCTAGGCACATATAGACATTGAGTGCCTGTAGGATTAGATAGCAGCTAATCAGTTATTTGACAATCAAAACATTAGATTAGACATGTTTTGGATCTATCATCTCTACACTGCCTGCCTATGTAAGTAAAATGCATCCTGGTCTATTGGCCATTGTTTGATCTAACTGATGGTGGACAGGCACCATCTTCTACATTACTTTTCTTCTGCTGCCTGCTGGCATAGGACATCCCTAAGGGTTTAAGTGCTTTCAAGAGTATTTAGTTGTATTCTCACAGCAACTAAGGCTAAGGAAAAATATTTTATTCTGTTTGTTTGGCTGTTTAAATTTAGGAACCTGAACGACAGTATATGCACATAGGAACCATGGTGGAGTTCGCATTTGCCTTGGTGGCGAAACTGGATGTCATAAACAAGCATTCATTCAATGACTTCAAGTTACGAGTAGGTATGTATCACAGGATTTTTATGAGAATATCATGGAGAAGGGGCACAATTTAGTGTGAAGTCCGAGCTGATTAAAGTGTTAGCAGGACTGAACAAAAGGGACATGAAAGTAAATATCGCTATCTTTACCCTGTTTAAAGGCAGCCTATGTGGTACTGCCCATTAACCAGAGCTGCTGCTGTGGCGAGGAGTTTTTCAAGGCAGGACTAAGAAAAGGGCAGTATTCCTAAGTAAAGAATGGTTGAAAAATACATTCCCATGGCTTTGAATCATTTTATAGTAACTCTATAATAATTATTTTAGAGGTTGTTAACCACATAATTTTTTTTAAGTTTATCAATACCAAAGGACACAAGAAGACTCTAGAGGGGGCTTTACAAAACCATATAAATGGTTTTAGAGGAAAAGAGTTGTAAGAGGCCAGTGAGGCTGGAATTTGAAATGGTTTAGATCTACTAAACTCAAGCAAGCATACAAAAATGCACCCTTTCCTTCCTAGTGTTAGACAAAGAAGGATATTTCTCTTCTTTGTTATTCTGTGGTTATTGACAAGTAAGAGCAAAGATGACTAGTTGATTATATTTGAAAGGGTTATGCCTTATATTTCAGCTCCTAATTGCGTCTACTTGTGTGTCATAGTATTTTAAAAAAGAAATAGGCAGCTGCAGTAAGCCATGGAAAGCATGATGAAATAAATGAATTCAGAGCTGGTCAAGAACCCTATGTTCCAAAATGTTTATTTCCTGATAGCAATACACAGCAGTTTTACAATGCAATATGTAACTTGGAAAGTGTGAAATGAAAGCAGTAAATAAATATTGGAAACCCATAAATCCTGTAAACATGTCAGAAGTATTTGATTTCCAACAGTTATTCTCCTGTCTTGTCTTTTTCTTGCTGTGCCACTTGCTTTTCCTTTCGGCTGCTCCTCTCATGTTTATTTCACAGTGCCACCCACTGGCAAAACTTGCTATCTTCTGACTTGAAATAGTCATGTGTTCCTGAGACCACTCCTTTGCCAGTATGTTTTGTATTCCTTGGTAGAGTTAAAAAATAATAAAGCAAATCTGAAGTATGCTTCCTTCTCAAAGTGTTACAGAACTTGATGGGTTTAAAAAAAAACTTGTAGAGATAACATACTTCTGTACGGAATAAAAGTTCTCTTCTTGCCATAGATGACACATGTCACATTCTTGCAAACATATCAGCAGTGTCAGTACAGATAAACACTGCTGAGTGTCAGGGCTAAATCTGCAAACTGATTAAAGCAACACTGAATCCTTTAAAGTGGGGATCAGGAAGCAAACTTTCTAGAGGAAAAAAAAGATACCTACTTGTGATTTTTAAAGTGTTTGCTACAGGTTCCAGAGAAGTCAGACTTCTTTGCTTCATGAAATGAGGAATTATTAAATCTACAAAGGGACACAGGCCCCAAACTGACACTTTTGCCACTTCAATCCAATATAGGTACCACTGAGATCTTCACTTCCCATCTTCACTTCCCTTCTCCACTTTCCCCCGCCCCCCAGCTGGTCATGAAAGCATCTGATAACCATAGCAATTACAGCCACAGAAACATTTAAACATCTAGCTCCCACTGTAAGACTTAAACCCAAACTGCCATTTGTAAAAGCCTTCCTCAGCCAGCATCTAACTCCAGAATTGTTGCAACTCACTAGAGGTCTCAGCTTTCAACCTTCATTTTCTGTGAGTGCCTGAAACACTAGTTGTGCCTTAGGAGGTACACAGCCTACCCTGACGTTGTCAGACAAGGGAGAGGGGCACCGAGATTACATTTCAGGCATTCCTCCTGTTCTGTTAGCTAAGATGCTTGATTTATTAGACAAGCTTAGATGCACTTTTGTGGCAAGTTTTGCACAGGTACTGCTTTTTTTCCCAAACAGAATAGAGGCTGACATGTTGTTTTCCATATAGCTCATGGTTAGAACATTTGTCTGTGTTGTAGGTGAACTTAATTTGGTTCCTGCTTTTGGCTGAGGCTGCTCAAGCGTGAGGATCTCTGTTCCCTGGAGAATGCTATGAGTCCAGGCTGTAGGATACT